CCCTCCCAAAACAGCGTTCTTTGTTTTGTTAAAGACAATACTTTTTGAAGTGTTTAAGGGCGCTTTTTTTTCTTTTTTTTTTTTACATTTGCAAAATCAAGCCTAACTAAGAATCCTTGGATGACCCATTCATGCTCCGGTATCGTCACTTCAACTATTCCGTGGAAAATACTGAACTTGGTGCATGCGAGGGCATCACAAACTACAGAGCCTCCCAAGAGCTCGAACCCAGCACTTGAATTAAACAGTGGTGGAACTGAAAAAGCACTCTGGGTACTGATGTGCAAACGAGCACACCGAGCTTCCAACTTCCAAAATGCAATATTACATTAACGCTTAAGGCCACGCAGTGCCCTCAGCCTGTACTCAGCCAGATTTCTCCTGCTTTTGAGAGGAACCGTTTGTCTCCACCGCGGGCAGAGCACTACCAGTAGCTTGTGTGTGCACACACCCTGATAGGAACACACGTTTGTAGAAATCTGAGGTTGTGAGTGGCAGCGAGGCTGACGAACCCAGCTCAAACACACCGTATTATATAGATAATAGAGCGCTCACGTTCTGTTAAGTCTGTTTGTGTGCCGCAGACACAAGAGCTGTACTTGCCACAGTGAGGAGAAGGATTACATTTAAGCATACTGGCCAGGCTGCGCACGCACACATACACACACACACACACACAGAGCAGTTAAAGAATCTGGAATCTGCTTATCTTTCCTAGTGGCTTTGGTCAGTTGTGCGCCTTTCCCCCCAGTGGTTTATTAATTTGCTTTCTTTTAGTCCCCAGGCTCCTGACATGGTTTCTGCTTCCTATTTCAGTTCCCTCCTTGCCTGTTCTTTGTCTCTCCTCCAGGCAGGGGGAGGGGGGGGGGTCCTGCTGCTCTCACTGCACTTTCCTCAGAACTTTCTCCAGTTGCCATGGAATGTTCTGGTTTCAGCTTCCAGCCCTCCCGATTGAAAAAGCACCATCCAACACACCCTGCCTGCTCCTTTAGGTAAATGCTAAGTATTCACCCCAAAGTATGGCTGTTTCATGGCAACTGACCCACTCACACTTGCCATGAGGACGCCCGATCAGCATGCTGGGAGCTCCCATTCTGAGTGCTTGCTGGGTGCTCGTTAAAGATGACCGCCAGCGTGTTGCATCCCAAGGAAATCACAAGGAGCCCAACAAATCCCTTTGCCTTAGCCCCTCCACGCTCTCACATGGTAGAGGCTGGATCTCTCCTTTTAGTCCTTTCACCCTTGCTGTGCTGGCCTCCCCCACCTTAGGGCTTCACCACATTTAAAGGACCGCTTCTCCTAACCCTTTCTGGTCCCAAACTTGCCCTGTCCCAGAATACCAGACTATCAAAGCAGTCATTCAACTGGAGTTTGTTACAATGTAGCCAAATTTCTTCTATTTGCAAATACACAGTTTGTGCCATACTGAGACAAAATTTGGGTCATCATTCAGTACAAACAGACTTGGAAGGTGAAGTTCCCTAAATTGAATGTGATGACTAAATGTCATTTCCCCATACTTAACCGTGGAAATGTACAGGTATGATTACCTTTGAACTCATTTATCATCACAACTAGGTAATTACTGTCTTGAACACAAAGTTCCAGATGATGTGAAAAATAATTTTAAATTTGAACTTAAAAATTTACCTTTTTGGCATATAGAATTTCCTCCCCTTTTCAGATGATTCCTAATCTGTTTTCTCTGACATCTTCTGCACTAGGATCTGCTGAACTTCTTTTGAATTCATTCTCTTTTAAATAAAGGCATTTTCCTCAGCTACTTTATTCAGTTTCTCACTATTTCCTGTCTCACTTCTGCTCATGGGAATTCCTGAGCTGTCCCTAAATGTTTTGCAGCTGTCTGATCCCTGCTGAAGCACTTTGATTGGTATTTCAATAGCGTTAAAAATCCTCTTTTGCTCTGAACATGTGTGTACCATTTGGGACTGTACACTGTACATCGCTCACTTCACTGCAGATCAATTGCTACTGGCCTTACTCAGAAGTGCAGACCTTAAATTGGTCTGCAAATGATAGGAGGTAACAAAAGACTGTGTTACAGTCAAATCTATTTTTAAATATATTTGGGTATATGTTAATTATACTTGAGTCATACCTATTTGTCAAACATTCTCAACTCGTGCATCTGTGCAGGTCTTGAGGTTACTGACATTTTTCAGCATAGTCTCCACTACTACACTCTTTAGGAAGGTTAGTTAGTCACTATTTCACATAGATTATTATGTTAAGCAGAGACATTTCTACACAGCCCTTGTGCCAGATAATTCAGTCACATGAACCATTTCCTTTTTCAGTGTGTTCCACAGAAATACATAACATTGCGCATTTCATGGCACACTTGCAATTTCAGTGAGTAGCTGTCAGTTTTCCTGAGCTTTCACTGGAATTTTAATTAACTGCGACCAATCTAACAAGCAATTAATTCAGCATTCATTACTTGTTAGGTTGATTATTACTTAAATTCAGTTTTTAAATCTTGCTCAATTTTTTATTGGGAATCATCCCATGAGAATGCTAACCCAGCAGCAAGGATTCTCAGACTTGGAGGTAGCACAGTTTCCTCTGTGATCCAGACATGGGTTAGCAATTTGTCAGCTTTCTCCTCTAGAAGCAGACAAACAATTCTCTTGTTTAAAAATACCTAGCATTCCCACAAAAATTACAGCAACTGCTAATAGGGAGGTGTATGATGCTACAAAATGTATGCAGCAAGAGTTATTTTAAAAAGGGAAAACTGCACTGCGTTCTTTTCTTCTTTTTCATCACTCTCCTCACTGCACTCACGCGCTGTGTAGTCCATCTGTTGCACTGCAGCCCACGACAAAGTCTGGGGAGCTGATGCTAAACTACAGAACTTTTTGTTGTTAAACTAATCTAAGACAGTCTTGGAAGCCAACCTTTGATACTTAATCTCCCTTTTGTTCCCCTCATTTCCTCACTCTGCCCAGTTTAACTTATTCTAGACTGCCTGGAACCAAATCAACCTTAGCCATTCAAAACAAGATTGCCACATTAAGGATCTGGTCAAAATGGGAATAGAACCTGGGATTCCATCCATAGAACCATCCCCCATCCGTGGGGACTCCCCATGAATCAGGCACCCTCGCCCAGCTAAGCAAACCTGACAGACAACTTTCTCATGTAAAACATACATTACAATACAATCCTAAACATGCAATGCAAGTAGTGAACGTTTGGTATTCACAGATTAACAGGTAAAATACTGTGCTGTCCAGAGAAAGACAGCTTCTCCATAAATACCAAGTAAACTGGCATAAAAAAGTTAATCCAGGAAGACAACCAAGAATGGATACATCTGTATTTCTTAAAACGTTCAAAAAAATAGCACAACTTTCTTTCTATTGCCTCAAGTGTCAATTAGATTGTGAATTTCATCAACTTCCAGAGTCACATCACCTCAGGCAATCGGTATTATAGTTCCATTGAAGGCTCAGTACTATGGATCTCAAAAATCTTACCTTTTGATAGCGAGCCCCCAAATCTCTTTCCTCCAAACAGGTACGAGGCTGGCCCTTAGTCACCTCGTTATAACCGCCTTAAAAAGGTCTGTCTCTTCTTCAGCATGAGCGGTTCTTCCCTGAAGTAAGATAATAAGGTTAATTAGCAGCCAGTTCTCAAAACAAAGTACAAATTGGGGAGTGTGGGGAGGTAAATTTGCAAAATTGTAAAAATTGCAGAACAAAAAAAAAATCTCAGAAAAATCACCTTAAAATGAATGGATTCTCTGTATGCCTTAACTTGCAGTGACCCTCCTTTCATGAGGGAACTCTGGCAAGTTGATTCCGTATTTCTTAAAGTGATAAGTACTCAGGTTGAGGTTATAATTCGATACAGATTAGTGATGATTTTTAAGGGGATATGAGCCTTCTTTCACCTGCAATCATGATTTCATTTCCTCCCACTTTTTAAATCCTGCAGAAATCCCCACTGCTAAGCTAGAAATGTAGTCCCCAGCAAGTCAGCAAACACATGAGGCATTAGCGCTGCTGTTTGCCAGTATATTCTACAGCTTCTGTCAGAAAGTGAATTACCAAAACCACAAGTGCTGCACTGCCAGAGTGGCTCTTAAGCTAAAATGACCTTCTCAGTGCACTGTGAATTGACTTGATATCCACAAGCCATTGAAGTTATTTATTAGAATAAAAAGGAGGAAAATAATAATAAAAAAAAATTACAGAATACCTAAATAAGCAAGCACGCACTGCTTATTTTTAAGAAGGGTCTTTATGTGATGTCAATGAAGCATACACTACACAAGTTATCATGATTAATTTCATACTCACAGTTTTTACCATGTATTTTACAATGATAAATTTCACATGGTTATCCAAAAGACTTGCAAGCCTCTTCTCAACATACTTAGTTTGCGTCTCACGTAAGTAAAACTCTAATTCAAGCTAAAATAATACCAGCTTCTGAAATAATTTCAGAATTTGTCCCACAATGAAGCAGCATATTTAACATTGGTAGTTTGACAGAAAACACACTAAGTGTATTAACTACTCAGCTCTTCTATTGAAGAGATCTACAATTATCATACTTGCAGGGCAGTGCTATGGAAACATGAAAGTTTCAATCATTCTGCAGCAACTGCACATTCCTGTTGTGCAAAAATAAAACTGAGGCACAAGTAAAGGAAATTACTTGCTTAAAATCAATGAGTCAGCAGGACTGGAGTGCGTAGAATATGAATTTCTGAAACCTGTATTTGCTATAGCCCTCCATCATTCAGATCTTGCTAATGAGGTATGTGCCATTTCAGTCACATTCCTGTCATTGTAGCTTGATGAAACATAAACTCCTGGTTTTTTCCCCATCACTGATTCCATACTGTGTCATGTTTCTTAATTGTTTGATGAGAGAGCCTTTATTTGAGGTGCAGTTTTCCTGCATTTTCTAAATACCCTGTAGTATATTGCTTTCCTTACCCTATTAAAAATTTTATTAGAAAAGTGCTTATGTTATATACTTTAAATTCATCAGTTAGTAATTCATATGACTACTTGATCACTTGGGCTTTTTTACTCCCTATTTGAATCTTTGGTGTTGTCTGACATAGTAGGCAGTTGGCCACCTGAGAGATTGAGTCTGCAACTGTTGTGCAATACACAGCCTTTGGAAATATGCCCTCTCTTGCACTTCACCTAGATTTCCTAAATGGAATTACCTCAATTCAAAAAATGTACACCTATAGTTAAAAAACAAAATGGCAATTCACATAGTCCATCAGCGCCCACTGTAAACCTAAACTAACCTTTGATTCAATCTCATTCTCTTGCATCTCCTTTCATTTTCTCTCAGGTTCCATTGGGGGCTTTTTCCTCTTTTGACGTTATATCTAATTTTATAGTAATATTTTCCTTCATTTTCCCCTTCTCTGACTTTTTTTTTTTTCCTAAATAAAGTTTTATCATTTTGTCTCCATTTTCTAGCTTTGACTGCTATCTCAGAGGACATAATTCATCCATTCCCAACTACCCACCTTTCAGTCACTTTCCCAGTTGTCACACCTAACTTCCCATAGTAACAACCAGCCAATTCTCCAAGTGCCACATCCACCTTTTTACTAAAAAATTCACAACAGTCACCACAGTAAATAAAAGTAATGACACCCTATTCACAACCTGGAACCAATCGCTTTTGAACAAGCCTTTCTGAAGTGTAAAAGAGGGTGCTATTATAAACTACTTTAAATATTCTAACCAATTAGAAAGTGTTAATTTGGCTAGGAAAAAAATAATCAGACAAATTATCATTATTAATTGAACTCTTACTCTCTTCAGGTCATTAAGGACAATACTCAACACTTAAGAATTTTTTTTGGTGTCTAAATTCCTTATAGGATCTTTGCTGGAGTAACTTTTGGGAAAAAAAGATTTCAGAGCAGTTGTGCATTAAGAAAACTATGACTACCTACATTAGGAAAAAAAAACCCACCCGGTACCTCAATTTTCATACCAAATATTTTATTGGCTTCTTTGTTCATTCAGCCCCCAGTTGGAAAAATAATTTTTACTTAGATTCAATATATGGGATTTGGCATGAGTT